TGAAGTAGTTGCATGATAATAGTACTGTCTAAAAATAAATAGAAAGGAAAATTACGTTAATATTAAATAATAGATCAGTAAGTTTTGTTCTTACCTTTGTAAGAATCGCCACTGATACAATCCAATCCAGACACAGCATCGTCGAAGGCCTGTATCGTTGATATTTTGATAAATAAAGAAACAAAACACGTTAAATTGAACAAACCTTCTTAGCCAGATGACATGCCAAATCTGTTTCATTGAGAAATTCGTAACAAAAAACTGACAAATTTAGAGCAAGATTAAGTCGCATAGGATGTGTAACTGTCATTTGATCCTGAGCTATGTCAAAGCCATTCTTGTAGGCATGCTTCGACTCTTCGATGAACTCTGTAGCAATGAATATCAACAAACATATTTATTCTGATGTTATAAATCAATACAATACTTTGTTGTTCATTGCCGGTAGTGATTTCAGTCAGATATCGATAATAATCACCTTTCATTTTCAGATAGAACACTTTCGATTCAATTGTTGTTACAGTCGGAATGAGATATTTATCAAGTAAGCTCTAGATTGATAAACTCTGTTTCTAGAATCATCTCCTTAATTGAATAAAAGATCTTACTAAAAGTTCATAACAGATATCTTTTAATTCATTTTCGATCTGCTCTCGATATGCTTTGACCATTTCTCGTTGACGTTCAAAACCTTGAGCTTCGAGTTCAATAATGGATATCACTCGCCAAGATAATCGACAACTACTGATCGCATATCTATAGGCCCTCGAGAGCAAATTACGTTCGTCAGTCGTCAGTTCACTATTCGATTCAACAACATTTTTCATGGCTACCACCATATCAGTATATCTAGAGCAAAACTTGCATTATTAGAATGAATATATACTATGCAAATAGATGTCTCACCGTTTAGTTTGCTCAGCAAGATTCGCCAATTCCACTTGTTCATCTTTGTTCGTCATCATTCAATGAAAACAATCACTAGAATGATCAGCATATGAAATCGTAGATTCTCTCAAAAAAGAATAATTGGGCGTGACGTCATGCACCAATGAGTGACGAAACCTGCACTAGGTATCGTACAATACAGAGCGTGCATTTGATTAGTCATCAATATGTGCAGAACGAACATCGGACGGAACATAAAACATATTATGCGATGCAGCGTCATTACTTAGCAACTAACTGCGATAGAATTTATTTCGAAATGTAATGAAAGAGGACATTAGTGTGTGGATGTAAAATGATATAACTATCCTCATCTACACTCATAGCCTTCTGTTTCTGTATAAAAAAGAATCTTATTTTATTGCTCAACTTAGACGATTCTCAACTTGAAAGTATGTAATAAGTAGTTTCTTCTTTCTTTCTATACAAATTTGAGGATTTTGAATGTGCATATTGCTTTTATACTACGTATATTTTATTTACGTTCATTTTTTTTTTATTATCATTCGTTATTATTTGAATTATCAACTAAAATTCAAAGTTTTTCAAATGAAGATGTACCATATATTATTCAACACGACCAAAGAGACGTACTCGAGAAAGACCACCGTCAGGAATAATATTAATTCGTACATGAGTAATTGGACCTAGATCATTGATTTGTTCTTTATCATATGTATGAATAGCATCCATTGTTAATTTCTGTTCAGATAATAATGTTTGCCAAAACATGGATTGAGTCACTAATGATTTATTATTATTTATAGTAACATCAGCTGCTTGAATTATACATGTATCAGGAAAATTACCTTTAAAATGAGCTGTATCAAGTACAATACGAGATATTCTACCACGTTTACCTAAAGCAAGTAAACACCAATCATTACCAGGTAAACGTCGTCGTCGAGTTTGCCATCCATCATCCATGTTAATACCACGACCAGGATGTAATAAAGTCCATGGATTACCATAATGTTCATCATTTGCTGCTATGGCACGACCACCATTTTCAAGAGCTAATAAATCAACTTCTTCCTTGAATCTATCTTCTGATGGTTGAACAATACCATAAACACGAAGTCGAGCAATACCACCATCTGGATAAATATTTAAACGAATATGTGTCCAATGATCCTCAACTGTAATTGCATGAAAATGATGAGCATTTGGACCTAGCGTGACTGCATGTAAAATTTCTTGCCAATTATCTGGTTTTTCTCCTTTATTAACGCAGCATGCATCAATAGATGCTGCTACTGGATAATTTCCTGTGAAATGACTTGTATCAATATCAACACCAACAATTTTTCCTGCTAAACCTAATTGTACAATACACCAATCATAACTAGCTACACGTTTTCGACGACTTTCCCATCCTTCCATGTATTGGCCATGATCATCAAATTTTCCTGGATGAAAAACAGCTGGTTTAGGATCAAGCATACGAACTGCTGGAGCAAAAAACTCGTCAGAAACAGAAAGTATTTGAGCACCAAGGCGTTCATCAATAAGATTCACATAAGACGATGCAATTGTCTCATCAAATAGTTGTGATGAAGTAGACATAATCAGTTCTTTTTACAAATAAAAACAGATTGAAATATATCTAAAATAATTTATTCAACAGTCAGAATTTCTACCACGAAGAGTTGAGGTTTTTTTCTTTTTTGAAAAAAATGAGAAAAATATATAATATGAAGAAAGATTGTATTACATCTAATCGGAACATTTATTATATTTACGCAGTACAGGGTAGGAGTCTCTTTTCTTCTTTCTTTTATCTAGCACGTTTATTTATGTATCTTTCTTTCTCATCATCACCTCAGAAATATGAATCATTCAAAAAAAATAATAAACGTCTAGTGCTACTTAACCATAATACTCCTCGATTACATTTCTTATTTTAACGAATTTTAGACCGACTAGTTGATCATTTTTGATAGAAGAAGTGTTAGCGTCGGTTGAATTATCCTTTATTGTATTTTTTCTTCTTAAGAATCGCATCGTTTCCATACAGAGCATACACTCATATACTCCCCTTAGGGCAAAAGAAAGGAAGAAACACTCACCCTGTGGTATTCAAATCTATAATTTGTCTGTTTTACGATCGGTATCTCTTGTTGTCATATTGATTTGACAACAAGTCGGTTGGATCCTATGTCACATACGTGTTGATATTTGAGGTGAAGTTATGTATCGTTTATTTAAAAGAAAATTAAGCATCTATAGGTGAAAGAAACAAGTCAGGAAAGAGTTCGAGAAGCTTGTTCACCTTTGTTCAAGCTAATGAACAATAAGAAGAGTTACAGTAATAATTGTTCTTATTCATAAAAGATGTCTGTTAACAAAGTACGTCAACAGTTGACCATGAAGGACAAATGTGTATGACATATGGCCAAAACGGAAGAGAGAGAAAAGTATAATTGAAATGGATCTATCGAGTAACAATGCATGACACAATTAAACGTCATTCATAAAGAATGTCCAGTTGGAAACTTATTTCTTTAAAAATTCTGCTCTTCTTATTTCGCAGAATTTATTGAGGTGTATGAGGTTTCAAAAGCGTTCCAGTTAGATAAATATTCTCAAAATAGAATATTTTTGGAAAAACATGTATTCATTATTAGAGTGTGTCTCTCTTAGGACGTTGCTATTCGAAATAAATGCGATTACCGTCATATACCTACCAGAGGTGTGCGGGGCAGTAATTTTTGATGCCCCGCAGACTCCGCCCCGTGTAATGTGTTAAATCCGTCAGGCTCGCCCCCGCGGGTAAATCCTTATAACTCTTCCCCGGTTTGTCCGCCCTGTCAAATTTTCTGACGGGGCCCCGTCCCGGCCGTTTTACCCCGAGAATATTTCAATTAATAGTTGAAGTTTCATAAATTGTATATCTTATATATTTTATTTATTTATCATATAACGAGATTTATTATAAGAAAAAATATTACACATTGTGCATGCTAAGCGTTTAAATAAAAAGCACTAGAACGAATCGAGTCATATGAATTTCGGCTTGGCCCGAAATTGAGAAATTTTTCTGCCTATAGCCCTAATGTCAGATAGGCCTTTCGAACAGAACATTAACATAATTAATTAGCTTTATTATTAATTAATAAACTTCATAGTGATCAGCAGGACAGCATAATGCTGAGTATTATGCAAGGGGGTAAGAGCTGGCACCCAGCACCGGAAAACACCGAACAGGTGCTGGGTGCCAGCTATTACTCCCTTGTAATAACAGCAGCTGAACTAAATGGACGTTCAACTGCTGCTACTGAAACTGGAATTTAAAATATATTTTTTGCTACTTTGGACAAATTAGATATTACACTTTCTTGCTCTTGCCAGAAAAAGTGGGTTCTCTAATTACTTTCAAGGTGATAGGTGTTGACTAATCAAGTAAATTCATTTATTTCTTGTTACAAGTGCAATATAACGATGTCTATCCACTGTTCTCGACGGTCCTCTATTAAACCTCGAAAAATTCCTTCACCCGCTCGCAAATCGTGAAAAACTGTCCTCGCCCGCCCGAGGATCGTACCATTTTATTATTTTTTTGTGCTCGCCCGACTTGAGCAGCTTTTGAGAGTATTATGCAAATCATTTAACTTCTGTTTAGTCATACGACGTAGGCCGCGACTATGCATCCTTGCCAGTATGTAAGTGTGACTGTGACGATGAAGTTAATCAACTCTTGCTTATCTGAATCATTACCCACGCCCTCACCATGCACATCCTGGCGTAAATGCTTCGCTTTTCCTTTCTTTGTATTTTTATACGTCGAAACTACTCGAGGATTTATGTGAAGAAAGAATATAAGTCGAATCATCTTTACGTCGTGAAATTCTCAGTATATATAATATACCACAAAAATTATAAAATAGAAGAGAAAAGTCCTTAAATGCTTCTCACGAAGAATGTCGATTGAATATCTAAAGAAAGACATGGGCGTCGCTATAAATCAGGCATGAGAAGCGTGTTTGACTTCGAAATTACTGGTTATTGACTCCGATTTCGATTCCAAAAAAAACTATTTTATCCTTGTCTATTTAGCATATGCTCGTCCGATTCATTTTGACCCAAAAGATATTTGGCGGCCATCCACTGAACATATTTACCATATTCAATTCTTTGCAGGTGTCTGAAGTTGGAATATAACTTCTTTTTAATAAAAATTGAACCACGTAGTTTGCATGTTCTGTATTTAAATGTATTTTGTCCCATTCTACAGCAACAATAGGTACGTCTACAGAATCAAAAAGTTTATCTCCACTTGCAAATGCATAATATTCACTTCCTTCAATATCAATCTTCATTGCAAATGACCGAAATCCGGTCTGCTTTATTATCGGCAGAATATCATCTAAGCGTATAGTTGTAACTACATACGGATCCTGTAATGATTGATTCTTCGATGCTACTCCTTTAACTCCCTGGCCTCCAATGTTTCCAGGATGTTTAGTCAGTGATACCTGTTGTCCCGCCTTCGAATACACGGCATTTCCAATAAGAATAACGTTATTACGGAGATTCTCAATCTGAATAGCCTTCGCGACTCTCATGTAATTCGGCTCGAAACATTCAATTGCTATGACTAAGCGGCCCATCGCAGCAGCGAACATCGTATATGAGCCAATATTGGCACCAATATCGATCAAGGCCATATTGGGGTACCGCCATAGAACACGTAATAGTACATGAAGATCTTTGTTCTCATAATTGTAACCTGCAACAAAGTTGTCACTGACATAATCTTTAGGATGCACACACATTGTTGTCCGCATTATATCAAATATTTGTTTCGTTTTCACACAAGTAAAATTTTCCAGTATAGGAATATTTAAATTAATCATATTCACGCCCGGCGGGGCTTCAATATGCAATTGTTCTTTGTTGACAGATTTTGGATTAACAGCATTCGATTCGATCAACGTTAGTTTATATATTACGGTATAGATAATAGAACATATTATTCCAAGGAACACAATATGGCTGGCAATGTTTCGACGTGCAAAAAATACACGCAATCGTTCCATAAGGGCTACTTTAGATTCTATAATCTGTGCATAGATGTTCGAGTTTTGTTTAATCACAGACAACGAATACTGTTCTTATTCAAACAATGACCAGTAACCAAATCTTAGTCACAGTTTTTGAGTATAATGTTCCCGCAGTAGCTTGATATTAGAATAAGCTAGATCGTATCCATGATACCACTAACAAAACTTGAACCATATTATAGAAGAATAATCATGACAGCTATTTTAAAGAAAAACATATTTTTCGAGCTATCTTGAGGGTGTGGGTGTGGGTGAGATATGATTATAATTCCTGCACTCACACCCACACCCTCATGTTATTGCAATATCGTCATGGACAACTTCATATCAATTATAATCTTTACATAGTATATACCTCATCTTATCGTCCGAAGTGAGTATTAACTCAGCTATAGGTATATGCGAATAAGGCGATGTGTTTAAATATTTTGCTTTTTTCATGATACCTGTATCCATACCCTCAAGTCATTTTCCCACGTCCATGGTCACGGGATCTTGAAAATATCGAAGTTTAACGACACCGGTTAGAAAGTACAGAAAAAGGCATCGAAAAGCTACGGAATTGAAAGCAGTATTTTGGTCAGAAAATTTCCCGAATTTTCTATTCATTTCTTGCCGTTTTCCATGGGAAACAGTAAAATTTACTAGGAAGTCTCCGGAACCAATCAGATTTCGCTCCCACTCTTCGACCTGGGTTTTACCGCAATCGACACTAGGTTTTAAACTTCTTTAACTGATTCTGTGTGGATAAAAAGTTGCTCAGTAAGAGACAGTTTGAGAAATCAGCTGCGGTGATCGGAGCCCACCACAAAAGTATGCGAACCCATCCTTTGAATTTTCGGGAGTACCTAAAGCAAGGTCGATATTTTTTAAAGAAAAATGATACTACTTACAATATTCTGTTATGGCTAAATTCATTTTTAATCATAACTTGAATTGTGCTCATTGTATAATGATTCTATCCTGTTGACAAATGACTAATTTTCTTTTTGCTTCTTCATAGATAAGAAAGTCATCGAAAAAGATACTAAGCTGCTATCGCAGACTACAAAAGGTAAGAGCGTACTCTACTACACTGTGCGAGCCTAAATAGAATTTCGAAAAGTTGTGGCATCTATTGCCAATAAAGAAATGATGTATGCTGTACAGTTAGCCAGTCAATTATCAATCATTCTTCAGTGGACTAATGAATGTATTTAAGTAATACATCTTGATCAGAATATTGATATACCAAACTCCATTGTATGCTCATTTACAGTGAATATAGACTGCTATCATGAGAACGTTTCCGCATCTATTCTTACTGATTTATTGCTCTACGAAAAGTGCTCCGATTTAAAGAAAATATTTGGCTCTAGTGCTTGACTGTTCAGCACATACCGATGGGTGAGTATATGGGTTCTGGTGTGGGACGTGAGTGGGGGTGAGGGAGACACTGTGGATATGCATTTTGAAAACGATATGGTATCCGTTGAACGAAAATCGTTTGAGCAAACGAGTTTTTCAGCGAAAAACAACGAGCCACAGTCACAACTGCGAAACACCTCTCGCCCTCACCCTCACTTTTTGTTCATACCCTCATCAAGAAAATCATTTCGGTGAGTAGCCTTTCGCTGAATGGGCCCCCTCTCCTAAATTTTTCGCCCATTTTGATGAGCTGGTGAAAAATTAGTCCCTTTGCACTTTTTAAGCAGTCATTAATTTAGTTGAAGAAAATGGTAAAAAATCGAGAATATAAAACTACGTTTTTTCTGAAACAGAAAAAGTGACAAAAATTTTAGTATATTCATCAGAACATAGAGTATGAAAAACTGAACAAAATAAGCTATTTATATGTTAGTTTATGATGGATAAAACTCATTTTATTAGCCAAACATCGACCACGAGGACTCATTTTTACATCAAAAAAAAGGTAGTGTTTTTCATTGGGTTAGCTGTCATACGATCATTTTTCACAATGTCAGATTGAATTTTTGACATGGAATACAGATTTTTCTCCTCTACAAAATGATACAAACAATTGTGAAAAATACTTTCGACTTAAACGGGAAAACGAGTTACAAGGAACCACCATTTTCAATGATTTTTTTTATCGAGGAAAAACAAGTATTTTTGAGATATTTTAAATACTATGCAAGGGTTTTTTCAGTTACAGCCAATATGTTTTAATCACTCAGTAGTTTATGCAGTGTAAACAATCAATATTCTTTGTTATTTTGTTGATTCGTATTGATAAATTATTTTTACAATGTTATACTGATAGAACAGTACAGGGCCTATAATTTTATATATTCTCTAGTTTTCGTACATATTGTAAATAGTGCTGCACTATAAATAGAATGATTGTTCACTTACATGATAAAAGTCAGAATTGTTGGCCAAAATAAAGTATAAATTGTTTTTGTGTTTCTCCACTTGGATATGTAGAGTCCATTGTATTTGAAGAGAAGGGATATACTAGCATGAACCATTTTCTTTTTATTATTGGAGTGTTAACTGGAGAAATCACACTCATATTAGCTCAGTAGCTTTTATCGATCTGAACATATAAACAAGTATGTATCATTCTATCTCTTCACTTACATATTATGAGTGGTAGGTATAATCACGCAGTCAACTTACGTTCAAAGAAAAGAAAAAACTAGTTTATTTTCACAATATCTAGTTCGTCACATATAACACCCTATCCGTGAATGATTTTGCAAGTTATTTAGAGTATCGAATTGTTGATCATATTGACTATATCTGGAAAAGTATTTCAAGCTGTTTAACATATCTCAAAAATACTTTTTTTCACCACCGAAAAAATAATTCAAGAGGATAGTTCTTTCTAACTGATTTTTCTGTTCAACTTGAAACTATTTTTCAGAATTGTATCTATCATTTTGTAGAGGATAAAAGACTGTATGCCATGCCAAGAACTCAATATAGGATTGTGAGAAATTATCAAATGACAACTAACCCATTAAAAAACACTACCTTTTTTTTTGGTGAAAAAATGAGGCCTCATAATCGATATGTGGCATATGAAATGAGTTGTATTCATCATAAACTAACATATAAATAGCTTATTTTGTTCAGTTTTTCATACTCTATGTTCTGATAAATATACTAAAAGTTTTGCTAATTTTTCACTTTTAGAAAGAATTCGATGAGTATTGGTGGCTTTTTACCATTTTTTTCGAGTAAATCGATGTGTGCTTGAAATGTGTAGTTACACTAATTCTTCACCAGCTGATCCGAATGGGATAAAAATCTAGATGTGAAGGTTTCAAAATATTCTGATTCAAACAAGAATATTAGACAGAAAAACAAACTTACACTCAATCTAATACAAAATGGATATATATTATTAAGATTCACTACTGGAATAAAGTATATCGATTATAATACTAAGAAAAATGCAGGCTACAATAGAATTAAATCCACTAATAAACATCCCAAACATATTTTATCATTCCAATTTAGAGTCTTGTTCTAACCTTGTTATATTCATTAATTATACTTTTTTTTATGTATCAGAATAAAAAAGAAGAAATGTGCACATACAAGGCCTACATAATAGATATACAATAACAATAGTATACGCACATTGGAACAAGAAGGATTTTTCTTTGTAAAAAGATAGACGATGGATACATCGATATAAAAAGATACATGAAGGATGCAACATTATAAAATGATACACGAAATATATAATCTTTTAAAAAGTCGTAAAGAAGCGATTACCTTGTAAAAAGACTCAAGAAGACAATTAATTTATAAAAAGATACAAGAAGGCCATTTGTTTGTAAAATGAAAGACGAAGGATATCATAATATATTCCAGACATAATAAGTTTATCATTGTATGTCTATTGGCACAACTAGTGCTTCGAATTTCTGATGCTTTGTTAATATTTTTTAAATTCTATTTTGTAAAAAACGACTCTAAATAAGCTAAAGTATTTTCAAATCTTTTTTATTCATTGATTGATCGAAATAGTCTGAAAATGTTTGATTTTCTTCATTGTAAAAATCTAATTTGATATTTGAAAAAAAGCATTCTCTAATAAAATTGAAAAATCAATTTGTATTTAGATAAAGTCATTGTTTATTTATGTATGTGAGGGAGCCGATGGAAGTGTGTGTTCATTATTTTCTTCTGCAGCTAGAATGAGTAAATAAATTTTTTCTTGCTGTCGCATGGGTCGGTCTTTCGTAAATGATTTATATTAGGGCTATTTGTTTTATTCGACACATTTATATGAATTAAATTTTCATGAGTTTATTTCAACGTAAATTAAAATTAATTATTTATTTGATTTTATCCTGAAAATATCTGCCTGGTAAAAACAAATTATAAATTTTATTTTTCTCATAACTCAGGGCGATGATTCCTGAAGCAGTATTCCATGAATTTCGGCAGGAACCGTGCCGAAAAATACTAAGAACTCGCCCTTGGAATAGGGTCCGGGTGGAACCGAACACAGTCGGTCACAGGATCCGCTCAAAAGAAATACTGCTTCTATGAAATTTCCGGAATATCACGGAATTGATTGGCTTCGTGCTGGATTGTTCGACCTGGGAATTTATATATAGTATTAGTGCTCAATGTGAAATTTCTACCGCCGATACATCTTTGGTTACCTAACATATTCTGAAAAATTCAGCCCTATGGAATGAGAATTAATTAAAAAAAGTTCATATATATCTCATGTACTTATGTAACAGCGTAAGCAAAACTTGTTGTTTATCTGTTGAATTCTGTTTTCAACCACACCAACTTTCGATAAATGATTCCGCTCCTGCTGGTTTTTTCTAAGCATTTCGCACTGAAAATACCGCTAACGGAGCCGAATATACGCTTCCAATGTTAATTTACTTGAAGACAGAAAAACAAATTTTTTCCACACAGTTACATGAGTGCATGGGATATATTTGCACTTTTCTCAATCAAATTTCATTCCATACGGCTGAAATTTTCAGGGTATGTTAAATAATCAAAAATGCATCTGAGGAATGAATTTCACAACAAACAACAATAGTATATAGAAATCATGAAAAATATAATGCGTACAGTTGATTTCCAGCAGGGTGATGTACTACTAAGACGAAATAAAATAAATAGAAGATGCTTCATTATGATATGAGTATCAAATTTCTTATTTTTAATACTTCAAATATTTTATTTTCCATGAATTACAAATTCATCCGTGACTTCATATGTGATCTATTATTTCCTAAAATAGCGGTTCTCAAAGTTTTATGAAGCCTAAGAAAAGAGACTACCAAGGCTTGTTGGGCCCAGAAATCAGCAAAAATAAAAAAGGTCAAGCCGCTAGGTAATATATCAAACTATTCCACAAGTCAACAATATAGCAAAACATTGCTCATCTATAAACGTTACGGTAGCAGAATATCCTCATAATCCAGTTTCAGATACAGTCAAAAATCTCCCGGAAAATCAACCATTACGTATATTACAAATCTTATAAAAGGAACACAACTGGCCCACAGCGTATTTTTACCATATATACATACATATATTTCCGGATCGCCGTAGTAGTGCCAACTCGTGAAAACTTCCCTAGCGCTTTTTAGAGAATGCCCAAAAACTTGAAACCTCCAGGCAAAAATTCGATTTTAGATATCTATACTACACTTCGATGAGAAATTGAGATGATATTCACAAGCAACTCGTCGCGCTGTATCGGCCCATACATACATAATAGTTTTTTTAGAAATATTTAATTCCATTTTCAATGCGGATACTGTGCTTGGACCCGGCCGTTTCGGGCTTTGTAAACCGGACGAAGAGGTAATGTCCGAACGAGTTGAAAGGTTTACTAAATAAATCTGGATATGTATCCTGAGTTTGATAGTAGTACCAACTCGTGAGAGTCTTGCCTTGGCTCTTTCACAGGATTTTCAAAAGCCCACAGCTTGTGTTCGGAAATCTAGTTTTTGATTTGTTTATTATGTTTTGACGAAAAACTAAGGTAGTATTCGGAACCAGTGGAACCAAGCAGTGGAGATGATATACACCTGAAGGTTGTGTGTAAGGTTGTGGATGTGAGAGTGAATCTAGCACAATCATTATTTAGACCCACACCCACCCCTTTCGCAGTGTTCTAAAGTACGACTGAAGGAGCGCTCTTCAATGGTGAACTAAGATTTTTCCTACCTCAAATCAAGTATGAAATAAAATCAAAATATTTTTATGTTCCATTATATACCTGACCATATTCATTAGAATTCAGTATAAAACTGCTCCAGAAAGTTACAAAGTACAATTAGACAAGTTCTACTAAATGCGATATCAAAGTTTTTTCCTCTTTAAACTCACGAATAGGTGCCGAAAAATCTGCCCCTACTTACTTGGACCCATGATAGAACTGTGCCCGAAAGTTCTAAGCTATAACTGGAGCAGCTCTATCGAGTACTGTTTCGAAGTTTTCCATAACTGAAAGCATATAAGAATGAAACCGGAAAAAGTTGTTTTGTCTTCCGTATGAATCAGGACATCTTTAATAAACGTAACCCCTATTCACTTGAAGACATGATAAAGCTGCTCTATGAAGTTTCACAATATGACTTGTTCAGCTTTGTCCAATGGCATATGTAGGTTTTCTCTAACGCAAATTGCATGATGAGAAAAGCGAAAATACCCGTTTTCCCTAAATGGACTGTAGCGTACTATAGAACTTACTGCGATTAAATTTACTAGGTTCATATATAGTGATTTACAAATACAAAACGTTTCGGAAGTCGATTCATAACTTTCGTTTCGTGCTGTTCCGAAGATAATTTGTGTGATTAAATTGATTACATCTGACGCTTGCAGTGAGTAAAGGAAGTTCTGTCATCATAATAACTCATAAAAACTAAGCTAGTTTCGATTTATTGTACGGTGTCTAGTATGCCACTTGAAAAGCTATATTTCAAATCTACTGGTCGTAAGTTTCGTGACAGTGTGAGTGAATGTGGATTCATTATTTATTTACCCGCATCTACCCTGGTATATACTTTTGTTGTACTCTCTAATTCTATGATCATAACCCTCCAAAAGTAGTTGACATTGTTTTATTGAATAAAAATGTTCCCGACATTTGAACGGTACTTGGTCCAGTTATAAATCATTCATAAAGGATGTCTAGTGGAGACACGATTCTTTTTTTTAAAATTCTTCTCTTCTTATTTGGTACAGTTTATTGAGTTATATAAAGACACAAAAGCGTCTCAATTGATTAAGTAAGAGTTCTGACGATTTAATTCAGTGTTGGACCTATTCTAATATAGTTACCAAAAGCTTAAAGTAGAGTATATCAAAGTCAGATTTTGTTTTGAGCAGAAACATAATCATTTTTGGGTGTTGAGAGGTGGAGCCGAAACAAATATATCTCACCTAACTCCCGCCCATTTGAGAGGCCTCCGTGATTTTTCCAAAAAAGTGTTAAAACGTTTTGAGACTTTAAGGTTAAACTCTGATAAACTCCTATCAAACTGTGTTTAAATCTGTGAAATTCGGTCAGAACCTTCTGAGAAATTCACGAAAATATTAAAAGTATTTCGAATCGATTTCCTTCTGTTGGTCTATGAAACGTTTTTAAGACTTAATAGAAGCTCCCAGAGCTTTTAATATGGGAAGGGGAAGGGGTTAAGACTCTGGCACTCGAGATAAGTACGATTACCGTCATGTGTCTACAGCAACTGATTAGCGTTACCGAATGCAATGTCCTGAGATTGGTACGAAAGCGCTAATAAAATTCTGGGGGTGTTATGGCAATCATTTAACTTTTCTTTAGTCGTAAGGCTTAGGTTAGATTCATGAACTTCAGGGGGTGAGTGAGGATGTGATTGTGACGATGAAAACACGTACCCTTCTCTATCTAAATTCTCACTCATGTTTACATTCTCATATATTTTACACCATCAACACGCACACCCTTGTACAAATGCCTTGCTTTTCCTTTCTTTGTATTTTCATATGCTGAAACTACTCGAGGATTTATGTGAAGAAAGAATAAAAGTCGAATTATTCTTTCGTCGTGAAGCTCTCACTGTATATAATATAGCCCATACTTTATAAAACAAAAGAGAGAAGTATTTAAATACTTCTCTCGAAGAATATCGATTGAATATCTAAAGAAAAATATTGATAAGCCATGAATGTTGCTGTGGATTAGATATAAGAAGTGTGTCTGATCTAAAAACTGCTCGTGATTGATTTCGATTGCGATTTTAAAAAGAACTATTTTATCTATATCTATTTAGCATATATTCGTCCGATTCATTTTGACCCAAAAGACATTTGGCGGCCAATCCTTGAACATATTTATCATATTCAATTCTTTGCAGGTGTCTGAAGTTGGAACATAATTTTTTTGTATTAGAAAACGAATCACGTAGTTTGTATGCTCTGCATTCCAAAGTAACTTGCCCCATTCTAGAACAATAATAGGTATGTCTACTGAATCAAAAATTTGCTTTCCACTTTCAAACACATAATATTCACTTCCTTCAATATCCAGTTTCATTACAAATGAGCGAAATCCGGTTTGCTTTATTATCGGCAGAATATCATCTAATCGTATTGTTGTAACTACATATGGATCCTGTAATGATTGATTCTTCGATGCTACTCCTTTAACTCCCTGGCTTCCAATGTTTCCAGGATCACTAGTTAAAGTCAAATGTTGTCCCGCCTTTGAATACACAGCATTTCCAATAAGAATAACTTTGTTGTAGAGATTTTCAATCTGAATAGCCTTGGCGACTCTCACGTAATTTGGCTCAAAACATTCAATTGCTATCACGAAACGACCCAAGGCAGCGGCAAACATCGTATATGTGCCAATATTGGCACCAATATCGATCAAAGCCATATTCGGGTACCGCCACAAAACACGTAAAAGTATATGAAGATCTTTTTCCTCATAAATATATCCTGTGAGATAGTTGTCACTGACAAAATCTCTAGGATGTATACAAATTGTTGTCCGTACCACATTAAATATTTGCTTCGTCTTATTACAAGTAATATTTCCTACAATGGGTGTATTCAAATTAATCATGTTTACTCCAGGTGGTGCATTAATATGCAATTGTTCATTGCTGACGGATTTCGAATTAAGAGTATTCGATTCGATCAACGGTTGTTTATATATTACGATATAGAAAATAGAACATATTATTCCAAGACACAAAATACAAATAACAGTGTTTCGATGTAAAAAAAATGCACGTAATTGTTCAATACGGAGTATGTTAGGTTCCATATTCTGTGCATAGATGTTCGAGTTTTGTTTAATCACAGACAACGAATGCTGTCCTTATTCAAACAATGACCAACAGACCAATCTTAGTCACAGTTTTCGAGTATAACGTTACCGTAGTAGCTTGATTTTAGAATAAGCTAGATCGTATCCAAGATACCACTAACGAAACTTGAACCATATTATAGAAGAACAATCATGACAGCTATTTTAAAGAAACAGATACTTTTTGAGGTATGTTGGGTGGGTGTGTGCATTTGGAAAAACAGTGGGAAGCCACACTCACACCCTCATGATTTATATTTGAGGTTTTGGCCACTAAAATGTTCTGAACATTTCGGCCTAAAGGTTTGTTTTAGTATCGAAATATTAAAATTAAAAAGAAACAAAATATTAGGGGACCATGTGTTAATTTCGACGATTTTCAGTCTGTTAATAATCTGTATAATAAAATAATATTGTGAGCTGAAATTATCAGATCATTCTAGTGGCCAACAGATCTATCTATGAAGTATACCCTCACATAAAATATATTCAAGAAATTATCAAACGATTTTGTCATAAACTATTAGTACAACTCGTTAGAAATTCATTTCTCCATTTGTTGTAGGACTTCTCGTAATGCATCTTCAAAAAAACTTCAAGATTTTCTCATCTCTTTACACCAAGACATATGCGAGATACAAAAAAAGTGATCCGTAACGTTTGACACATCTCATCAACAATGAGAAAAACTAAAAAGGAGTACACAATAGTGTAATTGCTGGTTCTCAACTATCGTATACGCGATAAAGCAAAAATATTACATTCCCGAGTCGAACGTATCATTGCTGAAGCAAGAAAATTACTTACCAATTCCACGAAAAGTTCATGAGTGGGTCGAATTCTCTACTTAAATACAAAGCACTGATCAGAATTTGTTTTTGGCCCTATGTTCTCATTTAAGGCACTCATCGATTTAGTTGAAAAAAATGGTAAAGAGTCACGACTAAAAATAAAATTCTTTCTAAAATTGAAAAATTAGCAAAAATTTTAGTATATTTATCAGAACATAGCGTATGAAAAACTGAACAAAATAAGCTATTTATATGTTAGTTTATGACCGATAAAACTCATTTTATTAGCCAAATATCGACCACAAGGGCTCATTTTTACATCAAAAAACATAGGTGATGCTTTTCATTGACTTAGCTGGCATTCGATTGTTTCTTGCAATCTCAGATGGAATTTTTGACATGGCATACAGTTTTTTCTCCTCTACAAAATGATACAAACAATTGCGAAAAATACTTTCGACTTAAACGGGAAAATGAGTTACAAGGAACCACCATTTTCAATGATTTTTCTTATCGAGGAAAAACAAGTATTTTTGAGATATTTTAAATACTATGCAAGGGTTTTTTTCAGTTGCAGCCAATATGTTTTAATCACTCAGTAGTTTATGCAGTGTAAACAATCAATATTCTTTGTTATTTTGTTGATTCGTATTGATAAATTATTTTTACAATGTTATACTGATAGAACAGTACAGGGCCTATAATTTTATATATTCTCTAGTTTTCGTACATATTGTAAATAGTGCTGCACTATAAATAGAATGATTGTTCACTTACGTGATAAAAGTCAGAATTGTTGGCCAAAATAAAGTATAAATTGTTTTTGTGTTTCTCCACTTGGATATGTAGAGTCCATTGTATTTGAAGAGAAGGGATATACTCGCATGAACCATTTTCTTTTTATTATTGGAGTGTTAACTGGAGGAATCACATTCATATTAGCTCAGTAGCTTTTGTCGATCTGAACATACAAATAAGTATGTATCATTCTACTTGTTCATTGAAGCGTTCTCTTTCAATTTATCTCTTCACCTACATATTATGAGTGGTAGGTATAACCTGACAGTCAACTTACGTTCCGAGAAAAGAAAAAATTAGTTCATTTTCGCAATATCTATTTCGTCTCACATAACACCCTATATGGCATGTCAAAAATTCAATCTGAGATGGCAAGAAATAATCGAATGACAGCTAACCCATTAAAAAACATCACCTATTTTTTGGTGAAACAGTGAATCCTCATGATCAATATTTAGCTAATAAAATGAGTTTTATCCATCGAAAGCTAAGATATAAATAGCTTATTTTATTCATTTTCCCATGCTCTATCTTCTGGTATGTCATGCTAAAAATTTTGCTAGTTTATTACTTTCAGAAAGAATTCGATTTTTATTCGCGACTATTCGCCATATTTCTTGACCAACCCGATGAGTGCTTAGAAAGTGTAGTTGGACTAGTTTTCACCAGCTGATCAAAATGCAATTGAACTTTCGATTTGAAGGTTTCAAAAGATTATGATTCAAATGAGAATATTAGACAGAAAAAAAAACATTTCGGCCAATCTAACGTAAAATGGTGTTATTTTGGTAAGATTCACTGCTGGTATTAAGTATATCTATTATAATACTAAGAAAAATGCCGACAACAATAAAATTAAATCCACTAACAAATGTTCTCTACATATTTTATCATTTCAATTTAGAGTCTTGTTCTAACCTTGTTATATTCATTAATTATACTTTCTTCTATGTATCCGAATAAAATAGAACAAATGTGTACATACAAGGCCTAAATAATCGATATACAATAACAATAGTATATGTATATTAGAACAAGAAGGATTTTTCTTTGTAAAAAGGCAGACGAAGGATACATCGTTATCAAAAGATACATGAAGGATGCAACATTATGAAAATATACAAGGAAGATATAATCTTTTAAAAAGACGTAAGAAAGCGATTACCTTGTAAAAAAGACTCAAGGAGACAATTAATTTATAAAAAGATACAAAAAGGCCATTTGTTTGTAAAAAGAAAGACGAAGGATATCATAATATATTACAGATATAATAAGTTTATGATTGTGTGTCTATTAATACAACCAGTGCTTCGAGTTTCTGATGCTTTGTTAATGTTATTTAAATTCTATTTTGTAAAAAAACTACTTTAAATAAGTTAAAATATTTTCAAATCTTTTTTATTCATTGATTGATTCAAAATAGTCTGGAAATGTTTGACTTCCTACATTATAGAAATTTAATTTGATATTTGAAAAAAAGCATTTACTAAGAAATGAAAAATTAACACTGGTTGTGAATATAATTTCAAAATCAATTTGGATTTAGATAAAGTCATTTTTGTTAATGTATGTAAGTGACTCGATAGGAGTGTATGTTTATTATTATTTTGTGTAGATAAAGTACGTGAATAATTTTTTTTGTTGCTGTTACATACGTCGGTCTATTATAAATGATTTCATACTGAAATTATTCGTCTAGCGAAGATAAACTATACATCTTATTTTTCACATAATTTCAATATACTATTGTTATTTTGTTATTAAATTTCTATCGCAAATACATCTTTGGTTAGTTCACATATCCTGAAAAATTCAGCCCTATGGAATGAGAATTAATTAAAAAAAGTTCATGTATATCTCATGCACTTATGTAACAGCGTAAAAAAAACTTGTTGTTTGTCTGTTGATTTCTGTTTTCAATCACACCAACTTTCGATAAATGATTCCGCTCCTGTTGGTTTTTTTCTAAACATTTCGCAGTGAAAATACCGCTAACGTAGCTTAATATAAAGGTGCAATGTTGATGTAATTAAAGATGAAAAAATAAGTTTTCTCTACACAGTTACTTGAGTGGATGGGATATATATATTTGCACTTCTCTCAATCAAATCTCATTTCATAGGGCTGAAATTTTCAGGGTATGTTAAATAATCGAAAATGCATCTGAAGTATAGATTTCACAACAAATAACAAAAGTATATGCAAATTATGAGAATTATAAAGTGTACACTTTATTTTCGACAGGGTGATATATTAACAATACGAAATAAAATAAGTAGATGATACTTCATTATGAAATGAATATTAAATTTCTTATTCTTAATGTTTTGAATATTTTATTTTCGCAGAACTACGAATTCATCGATGAATTCATATGTGATCTATCATTTCCTAAAATAGCGATTCTCAAAGTTTTATGAAGCCTGAGAAAAAGGGCTATCAAGGCATCTTAGGCTCAGAGAACAGCATAAATAAAAATATCAAGCCATTGGGCAATATACCAAAAAACTTGGTTACTTATGAAGCTTATGAAAACAGAGAGATCTCAAAATCTAATTTCAGATGCAGTTGAAAACCTCCTGGAGGACCTACCATTCCATATATTACAAATCCTACAAAGTGGAAAAAAACTAGCCAAGAGCGTATTTTTATTACATATACATACATATGTATTTTAATAGCCGCTGTAGTGCCAAGTGGTGAAACCTTTCCTACGTTTGTTAAGAGAATGCCCAAAAAGTTGATGTCTTCAAACAAAAATTCGGTTTCGATATCTGTACTGGACTTCGAAGGGAAACTGAGGTGGTGTCCAGAATCAACTTACTGAACTACACCGATCCATATATATACAATAGATTTTTACTAAAATTTGCATCCATTCTCAATGCAAATATAGTGTTAGAACCCTGCCGTTTCGAGCTTTGTAAATCCACGAAGCGGCAATGTCCGATTGAATTGAAAATTTTATCGAATAAT